AAAAAACAGATTTTGGCTGTTGCCATGGTAGCGGTAGGACAGAATTGTTTTTCCAATTAGTGATGGTACGACCTGCCTGTCAAGTATGAACAAAATCAGCCAAGCCAGAAAAAATCACAGAAAAGTTAAAAAGCCATTCCTGCTGAACAGATACTCTAACTTCGGGGTCAACTTTCTCATTAATGAAAAAAGATATCAAAAATTCAAATAGTAACTTTTGCCCACACTCAAGCCGAGTACAATGAGTTATGTCTGAGGTGTTGTTGTCTTATTGTTGTCACTTCCGCATTCCCCACATTGGTTCCTGTCAGGCGTCCATCGTTGATTTGTAGTTAGTTTATTTATTTCAGATTAACTTAATCACGAAAACGTACAAATAGTTTATTCTAAATCGACGAAAGCAAAATTCATCGTTCATTATCGTATAATTGTCACTTTGTGATCGTTTAGAAATCCAAGCGTATTCTCTTCCTCGTAAAATTTCCTTCAGTATAATAACGAACGATGGGGGCGCACTTCGCCGTGATAACGAGGCTCTAGTATCTCATATTCGGTAGTCTCCGTTCCGACTGCAACGTAGCCAAAATAAAAGGCATGAATACAAGACTAGTGGGAGGTAATAAATTTGGGGTCGAAAGTATTCAAAAAACAGTTTTTGGCTGTTGCCATGGTAGCTGTGGACCAGGATTGTTTTGCCAATTAGTGACGGTACGACCTGCCTGTCAATTATAAACAAAATTAGCCAAGCCAAACAAAATCTCAGTAAATTGTTGCCCACACTCAAGCGGATTAGAATGAGCTACGTCCATGCTTTTTAATCATAGAATTGTAGGGTGTGATACATTTGGCGTGAAGGTATTAAAAAATTCAGTTGTTGGCTGTTTCCATGGAAACGGTGGTCAGAATTTGTTTTCAGATTTTACCAATAGTAACTTTTGTGCCCACACTCAAGCTGAGCAAAATGAGCTATGTCTGAGGTGTTGTATCCAAAATTTGTAGGAGATACATTTCCTGATAACTAGGGTGAAGGTGTGA